GCTTTGTGAACCCAGCTTTCAACTCTTCTTTTAATAATTCCTGTATTTTCCAAATTCTACTCCAATATATGTCCAATTACGTGAATTTTAAATTGCTTGGAAAAGCTCTTGAGCAAACAAAAAGTTACAAAAATCAACAAATTGATAGAAACTTCTATTCATATTTAAAGAAGATAGGTTGCCTGTATTCGTATTGAAAACAAGATGCGGTATGAAAAAAATCAATTCAACCAGTTTACTCTACTGTCTGCACGAAGCAAATGGTATTAGTTCTAACCGTAAGGTTCCGCTGGAGTGATTTTTTCGCAACACACTCGTTTCCTTTACTTGTGCAGTGGCTTTTAGGATTAATTTGCGGGGAAATTCTTGTTAGTGACATCACGCCTTAACTTTGAGGACCGATCGAAACGTGGTCAACCCCACCGAAATTTTTCTTCAGAATCACGCCTTAGATTTGATTTGACTTTGTAAATAACTGTTACTCAAAGGAGAGATTCTGCAAAAGTCTTAGAAGCGCGTGCAGCGAGCAAAAAGCAGCATCTACCACGCACAGTATAATCCGCTGCACGCCAAGAAAAAAAACCTTCAGTCTGTTGAAAGAAATAGGTTGAAACGCGGTGTATCAGTTACTTAAAACAGCTGAACTACTGAAACGGCAAGAACTGAACTCCTCATGGCCAGGTTATATCGACTACACAGCTTCCTGTCAACATTGATTTTGTTGTTTTGTGTTTTTAAGGATGCAAGGGCTGCAAACTCTACTCAGAAACCCATATCAGTACAGTTCAGCAATACAGATGTCATCGCATCGACCGTAGCCTTGGTTCTTGTGATAGTACTGGCGCTGTTGGGAAACACACTAGTTTGCTTCGCTTTTTACCGCTCAACAAACCTAAGATGCGTCACAAATGTGTTCATCGTGTCGTTAGCTGTCACTGATATTCTCGTAGCTTCTGTTTCTATTCCTATCTGGTTGATTATTCAAAACACGGATTGCATCAACAATACGATCACTTGTCCCAGTGTACTCTTAACATTGTGGCGATGTCTTGACATTCTATTCTCCACTGCTTCTATCATGAATCTCTGCGCCATCAGTTTTGATCGCTACGTAGCCATAACTTCACCACTACGCTACTCTCAGATTATAACGAAAAATCGGGCGATCGTTGTTTTGGTTTGCCTCTGGTCATACTCTGTGATCATCGCCACCATTAACCTAGAAGGAGGACGTCATTATCCTGTGTTGGTTTTTGTGGTCTCGTTTCTCCTCCCTTTATCAGTGATGATTTTCTCATATTCACGAATATTTCTCGCAGCATTACGTCAGGTGCGCCGTGTTCAACCGATACGCCAAGCGTTTTACTTCAAGCGGGAGATAAAAGCGGCCAAGACGCTTGCTTTGGTGATGGGCGCGTTCATTGCTTGCTGGACGCCCTTCTTCGTTATCAATATTATCGTGCCATTTTCTCCAGGTGTTCAAATTAAACCAATAGTGACATTACTGATTAAATTCTTGCATTATGGTAATTCGGCGCTTAATCCAGTTATATATTCCAGCACCAACCGCGATTTCAGAAACAAAATTTTAAGTGTTCTTCCTTGGACGTCCGGACATTTCCAAAGCAANTTCTAACCGTAAGGTTCCGCTGGAGTGATTTTTTCGCAACACACTCGTTTCCTTTACTTGTGCAGTGGCTTTTAGGATTAATTTGCGGGGAAATTCTTGTTAGTGACATCACGCCTTAACTTTGAGGACCGATCGAAACGTGGTCAACCCCACCGAAATTTTTCTTCAGAATCACGCCTTAGATTTGATTTGACTTTGTAAATAACTGTTACTCAAAGGAGAGATTCTGCAAAAGTCTTAGAAGCGCGTGCAGCGAGCAAAAAGCAGCATCTACCACGCACAGTATAATCCGCTGCACGCCAAGAAAAAAAACCTTCAGTCTGTTGAAAGAAATAGGTTGAAACGCGGTGTATCAGTTACTTAAAACAGCTGAACTACTGAAACGGCAAGAACTGAACTCCTCATGGCCAGGTTATATCGACTACACAGCTTCCTGTCAACATTGATTTTGTTGTTTTGTGTTTTTAAGGATGCAAGGGCTGCAAACTCTACTCAGAAACCCATATCAGTACAGTTCAGCAATACAGATGTCATCGCATCGACCGTAGCCTTGGTTCTTGTGATAGTACTGGCGCTGTTGGGAAACACACTAGTTTGCTTCGCTTTTTACCGCTCAACAAACCTAAGATGCGTCACAAATGTGTTCATCGTGTCGTTAGCTGTCACTGATATTCTCGTAGCTTCTGTTTCTATTCCTATCTGGTTGATTATTCAAAACACGGATTGCATCAACAATACGATCACTTGTCCCAGTGTACTCTTAACATTGTGGCGATGTCTTGACATTCTATTCTCCACTGCTTCTATCATGAATCTCTGCGCCATCAGTTTTGATCGCTACGTAGCCATAACTTCACCACTACGCTACTCTCAGATTATAACGAAAAATCGGGCGATCGTTGTTTTGGTTTGCCTCTGGTCATACTCTGTGATCATCGCCACCATTAACCTAGAAGGAGGACGTCATTATCCTGTGTTGGTTTTTGTGGTCTCGTTTCTCCTCCCTTTATCAGTGATGATTTTCTCATATTCACGAATATTTCTCGCAGCATTACGTCAGGTGCGCCGTGTTCAACCGATACGCCAAGCGTTTTACTTCAAGCGGGAGATAAAAGCGGCCAAGACGCTTGCTTTGGTGATGGGCGCGTTCATTGCTTGCTGGACGCCCTTCTTCGTTATCAATATTATCGTGCCATTTTCTCCAGGTGTTCAAATTAAACCAATAGTGACATTACTGATTAAATTCTTGCATTATGGTAATTCGGCGCTTAATCCAGTTATATATTCCAGCACCAACCGCGATTTCAGAAACAAAATTTTAAGTGTTCTTCCTTGGACGTCCGGATATTTCCAAAGCAACATCGGGAACGCTGTAGTCAACTTATGGTCATCTAGTTTTCGAAGCACATTTGGTCAGAGTTCAGTGGCTTTTCAGACTGATAGCGTTACCGAAGCAAATAATAATCAAACCAACCGAGATGTTTCAAGCCCTCAGGAACAAGCTTCATATGCGGCTTCAGATATCAAGAAAGACCAACGCACTATAAGCACTAACAGCCACCCCCATGCTGCAAATTCATCGCCATAATCAGAGGCCATGAGAAGGATCCCGGATCAGGAGACAGTAACTGACTTTGTCTCAAACTAGGATGTAAATACGATGCTGATACGTTAATATTGACATTACTTTCGAATAGGTCTCCCAAGAAAAGAGTTGATGAAGTTTTTTCAAGAAAAAAAATTAAAGCATCGCTTTCCAAAACTACACGAACAGGGACGATCATGGGCGGGGTGGGGAGGTGGTCTTGTCAAATGTCGATCTTCCCTTAATGCTGTGATCTGTCGGCAGTTCTGTATTCTTACGCTGAAAGCGTCAGTTTTTTGTTCCTCATGCATGAAACTTTTTGATTCGGTTTCACCAAAGTGGCGATACGGGTGATAAAAGCCAAGTTAGTAATTAATGCTACTTCCCTATCTTGTTCACTCATATATATCACTCATATATCATTAGCTAGTTAATAGAGTGAACCTCGTATATATCTGGTACTATCAAGCATTATTACGCAATTAAAAAACTACAGATTAACTTTATTTCGCTGAAGAGTGAAAACTAAGCAATATCCTTAGCTATGTCTATTTCGTATAGAGCGCATGGAAGGTCGTCAAGGTCGAGGTTATAATTCAGTTTTGTCAGAGAGGAAGTGGCTGTCAGAGAATTTTCATTTATAGCCCGGGGTTTCGTTGTAGCCTGCCCGCGCCCACGCATTGTCTAAACCACTGGCATACAGCTGGTGTTGCCTAGTCTTAGGGTTTCAATTTGTAGGCATTTTTAAGGCCGTTCGTCTCAAATACGTCACCGAAATGTATTATGGAGCTTAGGCAACGACGACACTAACGGCAGCAAAAACGTCACTTAAAAAGTTAATTTGCGCAGTTTCAAAGTTCATCGCACTCATTCCAACTCTTTTAATTTGCCAAATGTTGGCGATTTTTTCAGGAGTTGAATTCTGAAGGACTGTATCTAACTTCACGAAAAGAAAAAGAAAATCGTTGTCTCGTGTTCACGTTTTCCATAAAACGTGAAACTAGAGAGTTTCAGGTCATAGTCGTGCAGTACCGCAAGGAAATGCACAAAAAAGTGTGGGGCAAAATGTTGTTGTTTTGCCAATCTAAACCTACTGTTTTTTTTCCCTTTCTCGTTGCTGCCGCCATCGTCGTTGCTTAAGCGCTCTACTTGACCGAGAAGGCCCGATAAGACGCCGTACAGGGACTAGGCAACAGCTGGTGTAGAATGTCTACAATGCAGGCAAAGCTAACTTATGAAGTGCGGTTTCCGATTTCGCCGCACGCGAGAAAAACTAAAAGAAAACTGGTAAGGTCCTCGAGCTCGTTCGATTTTTTTTTTTGCGCGCTCGCTTTTCTTTTCGCTCATGACTGAAAATCAGGGACAGACTAGCGGAAAAGAGGCACCTTGGAGACAAAAGGAACTTCTACACTAAAAGCCCGGTGAGCGCCATTTTTTAAGACCATGCCCGGGCCCCCCCCGGGAGACCATGACACGCGCTTTCGAGCTTCAGTTCCAGTTATTTTTCATGCTTTGTTTCTAAGCAAATGCTACTTTTTTTAAACTGAATTTAAGCTCTCTGATCGTATCATACCGGCTACACCTTGTGACGGTATTCATATAGCTTACAGATGAGAACACTGGTCTCCCGTGGAAATGTGACTCAATGATGACAGCGGTAATAAAAATGCTAGTTTTATTTTTTTAAACAAATACTATACATCTATTGTGAAGCGTGGCATACTGAGTTAACAAACCATGAGACAATAAGACTTTAATTCTCCAGAGATTTTATATCAATCGCTGTTTATAAGCCATTTATTGTGTTGTTACTCTGCGATTTGCATGTAAATATTCAAAAGATTCCAAGCATGCAAAAGTACGCTTTCTAAGTGATAACTTCAACAGAGTTTCAAACGACCTAGAACGCGAACCACAAAATGTGATCATGTGATGTAACAAACAATGTCTCTCTCTTCATAAAAGAAGGTTTGGACTTTATCATCGCTTAGGTCATTAGCGTACTTATTAGTGCTTTTGATTCGAAGAAAGCGCTCTAGTCANAAACTGAATTTAAGCTCTCTGATCGTATCATACCGGCTACACCTTGTGACGGTATTCATATAGCTTACAGATGAGAACACTGGTCTCCCGTGGAAATGTGACTCAATGATGACAGCGGTAATAAAAATGCTAGTTTTATTTTTTTAAACAAATACTATACATCTATTGTGAAGCGTGGCATACTGAGTTAACAAACCATGAGACAATAAGACTTTAATTCTCCAGAGATTTTATATCAATCGCTGTTTATAAGCCATTTATTGTGTTGTTACTCTGCGATTTGCATGTAAATATTCAAAAGATTCCAAGCATGCAAAAGTACGCTTTCTAAGTGATAACTTCAACAGAGTTTCAAACGACCTAGAACGCGAACCACAAAATGTGATCATGTGATGTAACAAACAATGTCTCTCTCTTCATAAAAGAAGGTTTGGACTTTATCATCGCTTAGGTCATTAGCGTACTTATTAGTGCTTTTGATTCGAAGAAAGCGCTCTAGTCAGTCATCGAGGTATAAGCGGATGCTAGTTCAAACGCTACTGATGTTATGAAACAAACGTTAAAAAATGGCTAAAACAACTCCAGAAATAATTAATAACAACAACGAGGTTTTCATGGACGAAGAAAGTGAGAGATTTAAAGATGTGCAAAAACTGCAAGGAAATAATCTTGGAGAGGTAAGTAAAGTGATTGTTGTTGTGCATGTTGACACTGAAGTCCACTGACAATATAACACTTTTCCAGATTTAATACAAAGAGTACAGATAGTCGTGGGTTTTGGAACAGGGTGAAAATTAAAGTTGTTCAATTCTGACTAGAAAATTTTTATGTGCTTATCCTAAGTCGGTTGGTATCGTCACCAGTTAGCTGGAAAACTGACTTGTTTAGCAACGAGGTAAATGTTTAGTTGTTGTTCTTGTGATTTAGGCTAAAAGCATGTGCCGGACGGGATAGCTCAGTTTGAATGCTGCCTGCGTATTTGATGTCAATCAGGACTATCAAAGATCGCTCATACATAGACACAACAGTTGCAGAGAAATGAAGCAAGGCCACCTCAGTAAAGCGGCCCCAAAACTGCCCCGCTATCCGATATCTGACGATCTTTTGTAAGATCAAAGAGGCCAAATCCGCGGCTATAGAAACGAGTCCATCTCCATGCTTAGTGTTAGAAACGAAAAGCGGCGGTTCAGAGGGTGGTACAAAAACTAACGGGTACATGAAATTGTAGACAAAACGGTCTCATTCAGGAGGATTTTTGTGATTCACTGAACATGCATGCGTACATGTCTTCAGTTAAAATTGTCCCTTCTACTTGCCATATCTGATAAGTTGAGAACCCTTCTTTTAGCATTTATCATCTCAGTGGGGTCTTTATCAGTAGATTTTAACTGTGAACTTCAGTCTGTGCTTCACACATATTAACCTTACTTTCGGGAATGAAATTGCAACGATCGATAAATAAGGTTTACTTTCTTTGATTCGTCTCCAGGTTGCAAATTTGGAGATGCGCATCAAAGAGCTGACTGAACAAAACCTGAGATTGAAGGATAAAGTAGTAGAGGCCCGAGAAAGCAGCAAAAAACTTCAAGAAGACTTACTTAAGAGTCAACAAAGATGTTCGGAGATCGAAAAATGCAATGATGGAAATGAAGTGATGAGAGACATCATCATAAAAAAGCTTCAAGGAGAAAAAGAGGAGCTAGACAAAGAAATGCATGTTTTGAAAAAGCACCTGGAACATTTTAATTTAAATGGTGGACAAAATGATGCAGATTTCGTAGAACTGAACAAGGAACTGCTACAAACCAAGCAAGATCTTCAAGACTGTCAGGAAATGGTGAAGTCTTTACAGAGAGAGAATGAGTCATTAAAACGTGATTTGTTAGCAGCTGCAAAAAAGTTGGAGACGATTCAAGCAGAGTGCGGATCAGAAGAAGTGACAGGAAGTGGGTCAGAAAATAATTCTTTATTGTATAAAATAGACAGCATCAAGGATCAACTGCGAATGTATCGTGAAAGCTGTTCTGGATTAGATAACGAAGTTGAAATTTATAGGGAAAAGTTGGATTTATGCAACGTGGAACTCGGGGCCAAGAAGGAGCAAATTCATGACATCGAGAGGAGTATTGATGCTGCACAAAGAGATAAGACAAGACTCGAACGTGAGTTACGGGAAGCCAAAATAAAACTGGAAAGCTCAGATGAGGAATTAAACAACTTATTATCCGAAAATCAGCAATACAAGGAAAGGATTAGAGAGCTAGAGTCAAAGACCGGCGAAAATAGTGAGGAGATCGCCTTCCAGAGGGGCCCCAATCAAGAATCGTCGCCTGAAGAAGACAATAAGAAACTTGAATACTTAGAGGCCGAGTTATCGGAGATGAGTCACAGACTGTCTGAAAGTGAGGCAGAAAGCTGTCGCCATAAATCACAGGTTCAAGAATTGAACGTGCAGCTGAAGCAGTTGATGGGCAAAATCGCAGAACTAGAGTCACGCGCCCCAATCAAACCCTATGATGGAGGGTTAGACTCCAATGCACTACTCCAGCAAGCCAAGAGACAAGCGCAAGAAACACGCTTCGCGTTGCAGCGGAAAGAGAAGGAAAATAACGATCTCGAGTTGAAGTTGAAGGAAACGCGAGAAGAAATGCACAAAATGGAAATCCAAACTAACCTTGGCGAAACACAGAGAGCTTCGCTAGAGAAAAAGCTGTCAGAGGAAAGAGAAAAATGCTTAAAAATGCAAGATGAATGCACTGGCCTTCAGCAAAGTATTTCGAAACAGAAAAAAGAAGAAGATGATTATAAACGTCAGCTTGCTGACAGGGACGTGATTATTGCTGAGCAGAAGGTCGTAGCTGCTAACATGGAGTTAAAATATCAAGAACTTAGCGAGAAGCACACTGCGGTTCTTGAAGTGCAAGACCAATATGAACAGGAGATACAGGAGTACAAAGACGACCTGTTGCAGACTCAAAAAGATATGGCGGATATGCAAGTGGACTCCAAAGTCGCGGAAAGTGAAAAGCAAGAGTTCAAACAACAAGTTGATATTGCTAACAAAACCATTTCTGATCTACAGTCAAAGCTTGAAGCCGCAGATCAAGACATGAAGGAAAAAGAACACGAGATTTCATCGACGAAGGAAAGATTGATAAGAATGGAGGAAGAATTGGATGAAGCTTCTGAGGTAAAAAAAAATCTGGAACTCCAGCTTCATGAAAGTAACTCGAATATCAAGAGGAAGATCGAAGAGGAAAGCAGCATTCAGAGCCAGATGGAGGAACTGCAGAAAACATGCGAATGTCTTCGTCAACAGGTGGAAGAAAAAGAACTTCTTGTTGAAAATCTCAAGGACCAGATCAGTTCTCTAGAAACAGACTTGGATACAGTTAAAACTGAGCTTTCATACAAGGAGTCTTTGAATGAGACAAACTCCGACGAGCTTAAAAGGGTAAACTTGAAACTCAAAAGCAACGAGGAGGAAATCAGTCGCCTTACAAAAGCGTGTGAAAACATCTCAAAAGAAAAAGAATCCCTTGACATTGACTTGTCCGTGGCAAGGACGAAAATAGACACAATGGAATCTAACTTAAAGGAAAATGAAGCGAAGGAGAGTAATCTGGTAAAAACTCTGCAAGAAGAACGCAATAAGTTTGTTTACAAGGAGGCAGATGTTGCTTCCTATCGCTCCAAAATTACTGCATTGGAGCTGGAGTGTGAGGGACACGTCAAAGGAAAAAAAGAACTTTGCCAAAAAGTTGATGATCTAGAGGAGAAAAAAGCAGCATTGAAAAACCAGCTGGATGAAACTTTGACGTCTCGGGAACATGAATTTCGACGACGAATCGAACTTGAAGAAAAAATGTTGGAAATGCAGCAAGATCTCAATGAAGCTATCAAGACCAAGTCACAGGGAGAAGAAGAGCTTCAGGATTTTTGCAGTAAGCTGGCGAAGTACGAGGGACAAATCGAAACACTTCAAAGGCAAAACGAAGAGCTTAAAGAAAAAGCTATTGAAGCCAACATTGAACTTGCTAAAAACGGTGAAGAGCTAATGAAACTAGAAATTGTAGCGACAGAACATCAGAAAATGTATGAGTCTGCGCAGGCTAACTTGTCGCAAAAAGACAAAAACTGCGAGGATATGCAAAACACGATCAAAACTTTACAAATCGAGTTGAATAACGTCAAAAATGATCTGACCACGAGTAAACTGTCTCACGAGTTTGCCCTGGACGAAAATAGCAGGCTCACTAGAAAGACACAAGAGCAAGAGACGAAATTAGGGCTCTTTGAAAATGAGATTTCCGATGCAAGCGAAGAAAATAGGAAAGTGAATGTCGAGCTGAGTTCTCAGAATACAAAGTTTAAAAACCTGCAAATCCAGTTAGGAACAGCCACAAGGGAAAAAGAGCGTTATAAAGACGATTTACAATCTGTAGAAAAGAAATTACAGAAACTTCAAGAGGACCTTCTGGTGGCTCATAATCTTGTACGAGAGAAAGAGCGAATCGTTGACAGCTACAGGGCTGAAATTGCTGAAAAAGACGGACAGATTGAACAAATAAAAAGCTCCAAAGAGTCCTTGGAAGGGAAAAACCTAGCATTAAAGAAGGAATTACAAACCATTACATTCTACCATGACTCCACGGAGTCAAAGCTGAAGTCGTCTCAAGATGAAATTAATTCCTTGAAAAGTAAGCTGAGTCAATATGAGACAACGTTAGAAGCCCTTGTTAAGGAGAGGGATGACAGAGAAATAAGAAGAGAAGATTCCACCCATGAACAACACTTGAAGCTCATGTTAGAACAAAGTAAAGAACGACAGGCAGTCCTTGAGAAGGAAATTTCAAGCAGCAAAACGAAAATCTCTAAACTTGAGCATGATATCAAAATGTCTCGTCAAGATTGCCTCGACACTCAGTTCGAACTTTCTAAATCACAAAGACAACTCGAAGACTTGAAGGTCACCTCTGATCAGTGTGATAAGGAGAGGAAAAACCTGCGAGAAGAAGTGTTGGAAGTTAACCGAAAATTATCGGAACTGGAACTGAAATACGAGGACGAGCGGAGAGATAATAAAGTGGTTCAAAGCCAATTACAAGACACAACAGTCAGGGCGGATGCCAATAGAAACGAGATACTAAAGCTCAGCAAACAGTGCGTGGAACAAAAGATTCATTTAGAGGCAACAAAGAAAGAGATCGAGCAAAAAAATAATCAGATACAAGAACTTAAGGCGGACAAAGAACACTTGGAGAAAAAGTCCACAGAACTTAGAAGCAGCCTTACAAGTGCTAAACCACTCACACTCTTCGAATCTCCCCCTGTGGTTGTTGAAGTTCTACTCTAATAACGGGTTGTCTTCTTGTAAAGATTAGACTTTCTGGCTAACGTCTTCCGTTGTTTTTGTGTCGTTTGCTGATTTCTCGAACTTGAAATGAAGATATCAGAGATAGAGAAATTGAATGAGGAAGTGTCACAAGCAAATAGCGAGAGAAACGAATTGAAAAGCAAAGAAAAAAAATTGGAAAATATTGTACAGAAGCAAAGTGAAGAACTGGCCGATGTTGAGAACCACATGACTGAACTTCAAGATGAATTGCTACAGGAAAAGAATGAGTTAGAAAACAAAGAAAATAAGATCACAAACTTGAAAGCTTATAATGCTTCTATACAGAAAGAACTAGATCGAAATAAAGATGAGCTCAACAAGTTGAAAGTAGAACTACAGTCAGCTCAAGAAAATACTATGATCGAAGTCGTGAATTACACTCCGCTTCAAAGTGCTTTGATCGATGACGATGAACCTGAAGATTCAGAAGAGGATTCTGACTTATTAACAATGAAAGAAAATCTCACGAAAGCAGAAGAAAACCTTCAGAAGAGCATTGAAAACGAGCGCAGCTTACAAGATCAGTTAGAAGACTTAAAAGCCACAAATAACCAACAGCAAAACACTTTAGACATCTTATCAGAAAGGGAAAATGTCTTAATGGCACGATGCGAAGACTCCGAGAGAGAAGTCGGTGAGCTTAAAAGCCAGTCGATGAAATCTAAGGAAGACTTGAATATGTCAAAAAGCCAACTAGAGACCATGGAGAAAAAATTGGACAAAATGGTAGCCCAAAATTCCGGTCTGGAAGCAGCAAAATGCCGCCTAGAAGAGGAGTTAAAACTTGAGCGTGGAAAGGTTAGGAGAGCTGAGGATGAACTACTCCAGGCGCAATGTGAATTACAAGAGCTACAAACAAAATGGGACCACAATACAAGAGAAGCAGAGGATAATGAAAGTGTTTTAGACTCAGTTCAATCTGAGAAAAAATACCTAGAAAAAGACATCCAGGCCCTCCGAGATGAACTGTCTTCAGCGCATGCGCTCATGAACACAACATTGAAGAAGAACAGGGAACTCGACGGAGAAAACTTCGAATTGAAGAAAACTTTAGCCGAGTACGAAACAAGAGAGGAAGGATTTGAAGCGGAACAAATTGAGCTCAACAGTATGGTAGCACAGCATCAGAAAAGGATTGAAGAGTTGGAGCTTTATGCCCAAGAGGAGCAGAAGGAAAATTCTGCCTTAAAACAAGAATTGGAGAATGAGCGTCAGAAACTAGCAGATGTTGAAGATTATTATGACAACCTTCAGAAGTCTCTCTCGCAACAGAAAGAAGGAGAGAATGATCACAAGAAAGTTTTGTCTGAAAAGGATGCGCGTATTCGACTGTTGGAAAACAAGAAAGAAATTTTGGAAGATGATTTAAAGAAAGAATACATCAAAGGTAAAGAAGAACAAGAAAAGTTTGAACAGGAAAGGCATAAGCTGGAGCAGATCATCGAAGAAAAGGAAAACCTGAAAAGTGAGCTTGAAAACAGTGTTAAGAAAACAAAGGAACGAAATAAAAAGCTACAGACAGATCTATCGCAACTTAAAGCAAGCGCAAATGAACAAAAAAATCTTCTACAGGACGCTCAAAAAGAGATCAAGAAACTCAACGGCGATTTGATCTCACAACGTCCAGTTATTGATAGCCTCCAAGCCAAAAACAAGACATTGGATGGAGAAAAACAAAAGCTTAAAGATGAACTTGGCAAATTGAAAAGAAATTGTTCGGAGCAAAAGATTGAGCTGGAGGCTTTAAAGCATGAAAATGAAAGATTGCAAAACAAGTTAAGCGAATCTCAAAAGCACTTTCATTTACCGGTGAAGAAGTCAGAGATGCCTCAAACAAAAGCCGAACCAAATGATCTGCTTAGCCGTAAAGAAATCAGTGAGCTGGAAAACGCTTATCAGAATATTCTACTTCAAAATGAAGAAGCAGAAAGAGAGAACAAAAGTTTACAAGAAGAGAATGAAGACCTAGAGAAAGAATTGTTAAAAGTACTCACCGCGAAAGATTTGTTGGAAAAAGAGATTGCTTTGAAAGAGGACAAGATAAGGGAACTTCAAGACTTGTTATTTAAAACAGAGTACTCTGCGCAACTGGACCGGAACGAGTTAGATGAAACGACTAAAGCCAAAAACGAAATGGAATCGGAACTTGATTCCGCCCACGAGACAATTCAGGGTCTAGAGGAATGTAATGCCACTTTTGAAGAGACGATTGAGCATTTGCAGAATAAAGTAGCGAACTTGGAAGAAACTAATTCGCAATTAGAAAACGCCCTGAAGAAAAATCAACAAAAGCTGAGCTCTCAAGAAAAAGAACTTCTGGAAATGCAGAAGAAGGTTTCTGATTTAGAGAACAAGAGACAATCACATGCTAATAGCAACGAAGATCTTCTAAGGGATTTACAGTCAAGCAAAAATAAGATCGCATCTCTAGAGGAAGAGCTTTGTACGTCTGCAAGGAATCAAGCAGAATCAAACTTGAAAGTTAAGGAAACAAAAGAGCAAAACGCCATGCTGAGAAAAGAATTGCAGCAGTTGAAGATTCAACTAGGAGAGGAAAAACACGAACATGACATGGAAAAAAAAGAAATGCGAGAAAAAGATGAAGCTATTAAAAGAATGCAGAAGGAAAATCGCCAACTTGTAAACGAAATTTCAGAGATGTCCGCAGAAGTGAACGCAAAGGAAGCTGATGTCTTAGCTCTGATGAGCACACAGGAAGACACAGAAGACGAGCTTGAAGTATTGAGAAGGCAGATCCCAGAACTCGAGTCAAGTTGGCTGGAGGAAAAAGGTGAGAAAGAGAAACTCAAGTTAGAAATGTCTACCCTACAAAAACTTTACAACGATTTAAAGATTGCCTACGATAATCTTCAGGACGAAATTAATAGTTCTCAAGAGCAGTTTGAAGAAAAAGATTCGATTCACTCAACCGAGCTACAAAAATTAAACATGGAAAAGGAGCAACTGAAGAAAGAACTGCAACTTTTAAGCAAAAGAATTGAAATGTTGAAGGAAAATAACGAAAAGACCCAAAAAGAAAAGAAGGAATTGGAACAAAAGTTGAGAACGACTCAGCAGCGGTTGTTAGTTTTGGAGGTGGACGAAAAGACCATCGATACTATTAAAGCGCTCCAAGAAGAAGTTGAAGAGGGCAAGCAAAAACTTCGTGATTTAAATGAAATGTATGAGGCGATAAGGGTAGAAAGAGACAATCTGCGTTCAGATAAAATAAAGCCGAAGTCGCCGAGAACCTTCACAAAAAGCGAGACAAAACCAAGGGCAGCAAATATTCTGAATACTCCTAAGAGTAATATTCAGCATGCAGCGTCCCCTAAAAAAGAAGTGTTTGACGCACAAACAAGAGCAGTGCCTCTTGAAGATAAACTGAGGGTCGCCAGGGAGCGACTGGAAGGGTTGAAGACCTCTCCACCCAAAAACAAAGGTATAGATGAAGTACCCTTGCAAGAAAATGAAGGCTGGAAGGCGTTTTCACCCTGTAGTGCAAGTAATGAACATCGAGAGTCGAACGACACAGATGGCGCATCTGAGGTGATATCAGATGAAAAGGTGATTCAAGGAAAGTGAGAGTTTAATGCTTCGGGTTGAACGCATTCTCGGCATCTTAAAAATCATTCGTGAATTTAAGACCCATGAAAGAGGCTTTCAAGGTGGGGCGAGTTAGAATAACTGTACGGACAAATTTTGAAATTGATAACATCATTAAATGACCCTCAACACATGATCGAAAACGACAGCGAACTGGAAATAATATTGACTCGGCGGACAAAAAGAAACGCGCGCAGTTAAACGGTCATTTCTTCATTTATGTCATTCTTTGGTTCTCACGTTACCATAATGATGAGTGAATCGAGTAAGGTTTTTTCATATAAGAGGTATTTTAAGCTAGGAAGGTAAACAAAGCTCTTTTTACCCGTTCAATGAACTCCATATAAATCAAGTGATGAAAGAACTTTTTCAAATGTTTGTAATGTAGGGCTTGGTGTGTACTATATGAGGCATAGAACTGTTTGTTCAGAAGCGAACTTAAACGAAATAAGGAGATAGATGCGAAATAATAATTTAGCACACTGGACAGGGGTACATACACATTTCCAAACAAATGAGTTCTAAAAACATTTTAGACATTTTACCAGATTTCGGAAGAAAAGCTCTACGCACTTCATTGCTCCATGATATTTATATAACCAATGACTTCTTTTATAATAAATGCACAGTGATTATGTATATTTCTTGTTAAATTTCTTTATAATAACTACAACCAACTTAAATGTTAATTACAAATTTTTGTGACAATTTAGATCAAAACTCAAAGGATCAAAGGGTCTGTTCACATTAGGTGCGGACGAGCACTTGTGCTTGGGTCCGTACCGGCATAAAATTGTGTTGTGTTCACTTTGCCCTATCAGACAGTGACCTTACAGCTCTCGCAAGACCTCACAGGATTGATCGGTAAAACATTGAAAAAACAAAGTTAACAATGGAACCGAGAACGAAATTCAATTCAGTTCAATTCAGTTTATTTTTCTCACAATATTTAAGCTAGTGGCAAGTTACAAAAGAGCTGCAACCCATAGGGGTCGAAGTACATTATAGGTTCTGAAGAGTTGTAAGACTACCACTGTATTAGACGCCCAGTTTTGAGACGTAAAACAACGGGGAGTTATGGGTAAGGAAAGCATTGGATTGCCCCAGAACAAACAAAAAACGTGTGCACCAGTGTGCACTCAGGGACCCAGACCCTGCTTTAGGTCGAGATCTTAAGTCAAAAATAAACCCAACTGTGTAATTTGGGGTCAGAATGATACGGACACATTTTTCATACAGCTGCTGATTCGCAGTAGAGTTTCAATGCTGCAGGTCAGTAGAAACTATTTCTAAGCATATTACTACCAAAATAAAAACGTTTCTTAGCTTTACATTGCCTCATTGCAAAACGTAGAAATTGGACTGTGCAACCAATGAACATTTCTTGTGCAAAAAAGGTTTTAAGCTACTTTCACTCATGACACTCATTTGTAAAATGAAACGGTTAAAGCAACGGATACCGCTGCGACAACAGTTGAGAATGAGATTGAAAGTGAAACACCCTTTTTTAACAAGTTGTATCGCAACGAAAATTATGGTGAATGTAAATGTGAGGTACAAAGACAGTTCTCCAGTTCCCTACTTTCTGCACGGTCACAATTAATCTGCAAGCATCTCGCTTAGTGACACCATGTTGGGTGATACAGAATGTATGTGGCAAAAGAAAGACACATTGAATTATGATTTACGCCTAAGCACTAATATCCGCCGCTACTGTAACAGTATTATGAATAAACGAAAGCATCGATTTAACGTCAGTAAAGACGCCATGTTGACCTGGATTCGAGCACCAGTCCCCGGAATTTGCTACTCCAGCAAGGACAAACTTCCCATCATCCCTTGGACAAACCAGCGGCGCTCCGCCATCGACGTTACAAATTTGGTCCTCATTCCTGACGGAGCTGGCGCAGCGTTCGTACTTACTAATTGTCCCATTAAATGATGAGTTGCAGAGCTTTGTGGAGTCTAATTTGACTTGAGCCTCTTTCAATATATTGGAGGTATTTCCTTGTTTGTCAAAAGATCTCCACCCAATCACATAGCATAAAGAGCCATTTGCAAACTCGGTTCCTTCATTTGGAAGGCAGATAGGGGAAACTCGACGGTGTAATACAGCCATTCGTTCAAGCTTCATCAACGCAATGTGTCTTTTAAGACTAACTACGATGTTTTTAACCCCTATAATTTCTTCATAACCCTCCAAGACTGTTCTGTCATGTTCGCCGACTCGGGCTGTCCAGTTTTCAGGTTTGCCTCTAGCGTTCACACAATCTGCAGAAGTTAGAATCCAGAGTCCGTCTATAAGAGTTCCACTACACGCATGCGTGTTTAGGAACAATAACTCAACTTGCCACGGCCAGGAGTTGGGGCGAGCGTCATGTCCGCTGACCATCAAAGAACTTGAGGCAGGAATAAAGCGGGTGCCACATTCGGGACGAAAACCTTAAAATTAATGAAAGACAAGGATCAGTAACAGAACTTGAAAGATGTTTCAGTTTCAAAATATGCCAGCAATTGTCAGTATTTCAACGGCTTCTTTCCTGGATCAAAGTAACGCTTATGTAGAAACCCCATTACTTCTTCTAGTCTATAAATAGTCCACTTTTATTATTGATTTCCGCATATCTGATTTTAAAAGATGCGTGAGTTGAAGTGCTCTTAGCCTCTCAGTGGACACTCCTTGTTACATTTCTTCTCTAGATAGTAACCTCACCAGCAGATCTGTCCTGCGAGGTCAAGCGTCCTTAGCAATGATAGTCAGACGTTGTAATTAGAGCTAATAACCAATATTAAAAAAGCGTCATGCTACAAAGAAGGCAAATAACAGGAGAATAACGATTTAAAACGCATTCTGGCAATTTGCATGAAACTTACCGGTTATAACACTCTCAATGAAAGGCAGCATGTATCGTACATCCAAGTACACCCCATACTTGTTAGCTCTAGCACAACCTGTACCCCAGCTGACCACTCCCGTCAGAACAAAACTACCGTCCTCTTTCTGACAGGCCAGGGGGCCACCACTATCACCATAACACGCGTCTTTACCACCCTCTGGAAAGCCGGCGCAAAAATATCTCTCGTTTATCCCGCCCCTGTAGGAAATATTGCTGTTACAGACTTCTTTGGACACCAGGTTAACTTCCACTTCTCGAAGAACTTCCGAATAAGCCGAAGCATTCTCCTGTTGTTTTCCCCATCCGGTGGCAAAACAGGTTTTACCAGCTGAGAAACTGGTTTCCATGTCCGGAAGACAAATGGAATGAACTCTTTTGTGGAACACCGCTGGTCTCTTGAGTTTAATGATCGCAATATCGTAATCACCCGTGTAATTTTTGCTGCCGAGTTGAAATCCTGGATGAATTGTTATGTTCGCGATGTCAATCTTTTCTTCATAGCCCTCGAATTTGGATTCATTGTGTTCTCCAACCCTGATTTGCCACTGACTTGGTTTGTCATATAAGAAGAAACAGTGCCCTGACGTCACAACCCAGGATGAACCAATCAGAGAACCTCCACATAAGTGAGCAGTGCCATTGACCAAGAGATCCACTTGCCACGGCCAAGAGTTGGGACGAGCCTCGCGACCACCAATAATGCGAGAGATCTGGGACTGAACGGGGCGAATTCCACATGAAGGATGACCTAACATGAGCAAGTATACAATGCAGTGAAAACATAATTTGAATTCTCTGTTTTCTTGCGCTTTGTTTTGGTTTGTCCTAGCTTGCGTCTGGCAAAAACCGCGAACAGTTTTCAAAGTTAATCTCATCGTTAGATAAAACACTGGAATGAGAACATGGCTTGAATGCTTGTACTGTATTGCAGTATTTTCTAAAGTACAGATTCTATTATAGTCAGATGAACTAGTGAGCTTGTACTTGGTTTGTGATCAACGTCCTGTTTGGCTTTTATTTGCACTTCATTATGTAGGATAATAACCCAAATAATACCAACTTCAGCACTGAAGCACACGTACCAACTCCGCAGTATGGCCAGTACCTTCCGCATGAGCACGATCATATCACGCTGGCAGTGGCAGCCATGGGCAGCTGTTTCGTCCTCATGAAGGACTCATCATCATGGCCCAGGCGAGGGGTTTCACTTGCGATCATCAGTATGGTTGTGTTCATGTATACAGTAGACCTGCACCGTTCTAAACCTCTTATTTCACTGGTCCCCTTTAATCTGCACTTCCATTGTTTTCAGGGATAGGGGCATTGTTATGTGACAATCCCTATTGTTTTGCCAGCTTATCAAAAACAATCTTTCAAATAGGTGCGGGATCGCCCCATGCGTAAAGTACAGGCCATACCGAAGAGCTGGTACGGGTCCTTCAGTGCTGAAACTGGTATTGTTTTAATAATTCAAATACCATTACTTCATTCAGTTATACCTGCTTTACCTCTTGATGAAACTGATCGACCGTAGACTTGCTTTTTATTTAAGGATGGTGTCAGGAGCAATCGGCTCCTGATGGTGTCTAGAACAACCACTAACGTGCGTAAATATTTGCTTCCCTTTCGGCGCACTTACAAAAGAGGAAACGCCAAGAAAAAGAAACTCATCAATGTGAATTTAAAAAAACACAGATGACTTGTTGAGACTTACCATATAAAGTATTCTCAATGAATGGCAGCATGTATCGTACATCCAAGTACACCCCATACTTGTTGGCTCTAGCACAACCTGTACCCCAGCTGACCACTCCCGTCAGAACAAAACTACCGTCCTCTTTCTGACAGGCCAGGGGACCACCACTATCACCATAACACGCGTCTTTACCACCCTCCGGAAAGCCGGCGCAAAAATATCTCTCGTTTATCCCGCCCCTGTAGGAAATATTGCTGTTACAGACTTCTTTGGACACCAGGTTAACTTCCACTTCTCGAAGAACTTCCGAATAAGCCGAAGCATTCTCCTGTTGTTTTCCCCATCCGGTGGCAAAACAGGTTTTACCAGCTGAGAAACTAGTTTTCATATCCGGAAGACAAATGGAATGAACTCTTTTGTGGAACACCGCTGGTCTCTTGAGTTTAATGATCGCAATATCGTAATCACCCGTGTAATTTTTGCTGCCGAGTTGAAATCCTGGATGAATTGTTATGTTCGCGATGTCAATCTTTTCTTCATAGCCCTCGAATTTGGATTCATTGTGTTCTCCAACCCTGATTTGCCACTGACTTGGTTTGTCATATAAGAAGAAACAGTGCCCTGACGTCACAACCCAGGATGAACCAATCAGAGAACCTCCACATAAGTGAGCAGTGCCATTGACCAAGAGATCCACTTGCCACGGCCAAGAGTTGGGACGAGCCTCGCGACCACCAATAATGCGAGAGATCTGGGACTGAACGGGGCGAATTCCACATGAAGGATGACCTAACATGAGCAAGTATACAATGCAGTGAAAACATAATTTGAATTCTCTGTTTTCTTGCGCTTTGTTTTGGTTTGTCCTAGCTTGCGTCTGGCAAAAACCGCGAACAGTTTTCAAAGTTAATCTCATCGTTAGATAAAACACTGGAATGAGAACATGGCTTGAATGCTTGTACTGTATTGCAGTATTTTCTAAAGTACAGATTCTATTATAGTCAGATGAACTAGTGAGCTTGTACTTGGTTTGTGATCAACGTCCTGTTTGGCTTTTATTTGCACTTCATTATGTAGGATAATAACCCAAATAATACCAACTTCAGCACTGAAGCACACGTACCAACTCCGCAGTATGGCCTGTACCTTGCGCATGAGCACGATCATATCACGCTGGCAGTGGCAGCCATGGGCAGCTGTTTCGTCCTCATGAAGGACTCATCATCATGGCCCAGGCGAGGGGTTTCACTTGCGATCATCAGTATGGTTGTGTTCATGTATACAGTAGACCTGCACCGTTCTAAACCTCTTATTTCACTGGTCCCCTTTAATCTGCACTTCCATTGTTTTCAGGGATAGGGGCATTGTTATGTGACAATCCCTATTGTTTTGCCAGCTTATCGAAAACAATCTTTCAAATAGGTGCGGGATCGCCCCATGCGTAAAGTACAGGCCATACCGAAGAGCTGGTACGGGTCCTTCAGTGCTGAAACTGGTATTGTTTTAATAATTCAAATACCATTACTTCATTCAGTTATACCTGCTTTACCTCTTGATGAAACTGATCGACCGTAGACTTGCTTTTTATTTAAGGATGGTGTCAGGAGCAATCGGCTCCTGATGGTGTCTAGAACAACCACTAACGTGCGTAAATATTTGCTTCCCTTTCGGCGCACTTACAAAAGAGGAAACGCCAAGAAAAAGAAACTCATCAATGTGAATTTAAAAAAACACAGATGACTTGTTGAGACTTACCATATAAAGTATTCTCAATGAATGGCAGCATGTATCGTACATCCAAGTACACCCCATACTTGTTGGCTCTAGCACAACCTGTACCCCAGCTGACCACTCCCGTCAGAACAAAACTACCGTCCTCTTTCTGACAGGCCAGGGGACCACCACTATCACCATAACACGCGTCTTTACCACCCTCCGGAAAGCCGGCGCAAAAATATCTCTCGTTTATCCCGCCCCTGTAGGAAATATTGCTGTTACAGACTTCTTTGGACACCAGGTTAACTTCCACTTCTCGAAGAACTTCCGAATAAGCCGAAGCATTCTCCTGTTGTTTTCCCCATCCGGTGGCAAAACAGGTTTTACCAGCTGAGAAACTAGTTTTCATATCCGGAAGACAAATGGAATGAACTCTTTTGTGGAACACCGCTGGTCTCTTGAGTTTAATGATCGCAATATCGTAATCACCCGTGTAATTTTTGCTGCCGAGTTGAAATCCTGGATGAATTGTTATGTTCGCGATGTCAATCTTTTCTTCATAGCCCTCGAATTTGGATTCATTGTGTTCTCCAACCCTGATTTGCCACTGACTTGGTTTGTCATATAAGAAGAAACAGTGCCCTGACGTCACAACCCAGGATGAACCAATCAGAGAACCTCCACATAAGTGAGCAGTGCCATTGACCAAGAGATCCACTTGCCACGGCCAAGAGTTGGGACGAGCCTCGCGACCACCAATAATGCGAGAGATCTGGGACTGAACGGGGCGAATTCCACATGAAGGATGACCTAACATGAGCAAGTATACAATGCAGTGAAAACATAATTTGAATTCTCTGTTTTCTTGCGCTTTGTTTTGGTTTGTCCTAGCTTGCGTCTGGCAAAAACCGCGAACAGTTTTCAAAGTTAATCTCATCGTTAGATAAAACACTGGAATGAGAACATGGCTTGAATGCTTGTACTGTATTGCAGTATTTTCTAAAGTACAGATTCTATTATAGTCAGATGAACTAGTGAGCTTGTACTTGGTTTGTGATCAACGTCCTGTTTGGCTTTTATTTGCACTTCATTATGTAGGATAATAACCCAAATAATACCAACTTCAGCACTGAAGCACACGTACCAACTCCGCAGTATGGCCAGTACCTTCCGCATGAGCACGATCATATCACGCTGGCAGTGGCAGCCATGGGCAGCTGTTTCGTCCTCATGAAGGACTCATCATCATGGCCCAGGCGAGGGGTTTCACTTGCGATCATCAGTATGGTTGTGTTCATGTATACAGTAGACCTGCACCGTTCTAAACCTCTTATTTCACTGGTCCCCTTTAATCTGCACTTCCATTGTTTTCAGGGATAGGGGCATTGTTATGTGACAATCCCTATTGTTTTGCCAGCTTATCAAAAACAATCTTTCAAATAGGTGCGGGATCGCCCCATGCGTAAAGTACAGGCCATACCGAAGAGCTGGTACGGGTCCTTCAGTGCTGAAACTGGTATTGTTTTAATAATTCAAATACCATTACTTCATTCAGTTATACCTGCTTTACCTCTTGATGAAACTGATCGACCGTAGACTTGCTTTTTATTTAAGGATGGTGTCAGGAGCAATCGGCTCCTGATGGTGTCTAGAACAACCACTAACGTGCGTAAATATTTGCTTCCCTTTCGGCGCACTTACAAAAGAGGAAACGCCAAGAAAAAGAAACTCATCAATGTGAATTTAAAAAAACACAGATGACTTGTTGAGACTTACCATATAAAGTATTCTCAATGAATGGCAGCATGTATCGTACATCCAAGTACACCCCATACTTGTTGGCTCTAGCACAACCTGTACCCCAGCTGACCACTCCCGTCAGAACAAAACTACCGTCCTCTTTCTGACAGGCCAGGGGACCACCACTATCACCATAACACGCGTCTTTACCACCCTCCGGAAAGCCGGCGCAAAAATATCTCTCGTTTATCCCGCCCCTGTAGGAAATATTGCTGTTACAGACTTCTTTGGACACCAGGTTAACTTCCACTTCTCGAAGAACTTCCGAATAAGCCGAAGCATTCTCCTGTTGTTTTCCCCATCCGGTGGCAAAACAGGTTTTACCAGCTGAGAAACTAGTTTTCATATCCGGAAGACAAATGGAATGAACTCTTTTGTGGAACACCGCTGGTCTCTTGAGTTTAATGATCGCAATATCGTAATCACCCGTGTAATTTTTGCTGCCGAGTTGAAATCCTGGATGAATTGTTATGTTCGCGATGTCAATCTTTTCTTCATAGCCCTCGAATTTGGATTCATTGTGTTCTCCAACCCTGATTTGCCACTGACTTGGTTTGTCATATAAGAAGAAACAGTGCCCTGACGTCACAACCCAGGATGAACCAATCAGAGAACCTCCACATAAGTGAGCAGTGCCATTGACCAAGAGATCCACTTGCCACGGCCAAGAGTTGGGACGAGCCTCGCGACCACCAATGATGCGGGAGATCTGAGACTGAACAGGGCGAATTCCGCATTTTGGGTAACCTTTTTTGGAATTTGCATAATTATAACTAAATTAGTAGTGAGCTAGACCTGCGTGAGAAAGACACGAAGAGTTCGTAGAAAGCAAGGTCAGATTGATTAAACTATGGCATTTGTCTTTGAAGCGGGGTAAAGAAAGTTTAGAACATGTTATTACTGTTTTAGGGCCATTGCCTCGTGACGAGCCCAAGTTACACTGACTGGTAATTTCAATAAAGTGCAGGTGTTTAACGTTCTGTCGTTTTATATGGAAGTTAATTCGAATGTAAATTTTGAAAACTGGGGAGTTAAAAGAGTGAAGATTCCGTTCTGTTTTCTAATGAGTTAGATTAGTTGCTCTGACAAATTGCTCAGAACATAGTCCCAAACCTTTAATCATTTTTGCAGTTTAAAACTACTTAACCATTTATTTTTTAATTTTCTTACCGTATATGGTGCTTTCTATAAATGGCAGAAATCTACGTACATCAGCGTAGACCCCATATTTATGCGGCCTTGCACATCCTTCCCCCCACGTCACCACTCCAGCAAGGACCCATTTTCCTGCGCTATCTTGACACACCAAGGGCCCCCCGCTATCTCCCTGACAGGCGTCCATCCCACCCTCCTGGTATCCAGCGCACAAGTAACGTTCGTGAACTTTCCCGTTGTATGATTCTTCTTTGTTGCACTCCTGTCGTGATACTATAGGTACCTGGTTCTCTTGTAGAACTTCAGAATAAGTTCCATTTTCCATGCTGTGTCCCCAGCCCGTAACAAAGCACATTCGACCGATATCTTCAGGGACAGTTGAGTCCTCATCAGGCAGACAGACTGGGCTTACTTTACTGTAAAATGTAGCGGGTCTTTTTAAATGATACAGTGCCACATCATAATCCCCTGGGGACTCTGCCGTCGGGCGGTCGATCTTAAATCCTGGATGTATATAATATCTGTTACCTTCCATAATTTCTTCGTATCCTTCGAGTTTTACTCGGTTGTGTTCTCCAAGTCTTATTTCCTTGACTGTAGTACTATAGAATGGGTCTGCACAATGTGCAGCTGTCAGAATCCATTGTGGATGTATGATGGAACCACCGCAGAAATGCTTGGTACCATTTTCTATAATTTCAACTTGCCATGGCCAAGAATTTGGCTCCGCAATTTTGCCGCCAACAATGCGCTTTTGACGTGAATGATGGTTCGTAAGAACGCGGTTTCCACAGTTAGCAAATTCTAGGATAGAAAGACAAATGAGAGAAAAGATAAACTTTCCAAAAAAGAGATTCCAACTGTTTTGACCTATAATTCATGTATGGATTGCCAAAGAAAACGGTTCATAATAATGAGGGAAGATGGTCATGTGAGCGTTGCCTCCGTTGCGCCTTGTTTTTATTATATTTCGGCTAAGTAAAAATTGCCTTATGTGTACCTTCATTATACTATAAACTGCCGTTTATAAGCTTCCCTCAACAGCTATAAGCTAATCTATCTGTAAGCAAAACCATGGGATTTAAAGTCTCCTGGACACGAGCCCCCCCTAGCTTGTATTGAAGCCTTACAAGCCACATTTTACGGTATGTTTCTTGCGATCGGTAAGGAGGATGCTAAAGTTTTTTTATATATGCTATAACAATAAACCACCCACAAGAGTAAATTGGTAAGACGTTTTATGGGATACAACAACTGAAAATAGCCCACCTTTCATACATCCATAAATCTCCATTCTAATTGCTATAGCACCGTACCACTCTGTAGGATATACCCGCACGAAACGCACGTTTTTCAGTTCTGGGAGTTGGGAAGTAATAACTTCATCTTTGTTATCCCTAACCAGAGTAAAAACCTGTAGGAAAAAGGGTTCTGTAAAATGAAAAGTCACAAGGTTTTTCATTTTAGGCGTTAGATTCACAACTTTCGTAAGGAGTGTTCAAAGTCCTTCTCTGAAATTGGCCAACAAAGATAGGAAACGCTACTACTTTTATGATTATATTTCAGTTCACGTAAGCCGGTGTGAAAAATTACTTTCTATCGTCTGGAGAACAAAATAAATAAAACACGGTAAAAAAGCAGCGTAAGCTCTCAGCTCCCACTACAAAATGCAAGAAAGCACAATTTACCTCGGATAATTCCTCCCAAGTCTTGCCATCCAAGCTAAATGATAGTTTATATCTCGTAACCCAATACTCGTAGTTCGGATGTCCCTGAAAGGCCACCGCTGAAACATTGGTTCCACCTTTAAAGTAAATCTGCAAGAACTGCTCTTCATTTTGAGCTGATGGCATCCAAGCTGAGTTTCCATGGAGACGAGCCTTTCCAGGATCATGGAAAAAATCACGAATGGACGAAGCAGTGATGTCTGCGTTTTGAATCCAATAATTTTGCATACCTAGTCCTTCATTACATGATGACCCTGTAAACGAGATTGATTTGTTCAGAAATGTTATTTAGCCAGTTTATTTTATGACGGAAAAAGTAACGGTACCCTTTTCCCATCAGCTCTTACGTCATAGATTTTTGCTGTGTTGTCCATTCAGATCGGCAGAGAGTTTTAGCGGGATTTAGTTTCCTTTTATGTGACCGCCAGGTAGCCATTGCTACAATAATACTCACAAATAATTAAACACCTTTGACCTGCGTAAAGCATATTGCCGCTGTCAAGAGCTGGCGATAATGTTTGTAGGAACCAACGCTTGCAATACTGGGGGCCTGACTCCCCTGATCTTCTCTATCAAAACGTTGACATACGTATTTTTTCCCGATAACGTTTCTTAGTACTACCGATTAGGCAAATGACGAAAAACTAAAAGATCCGCTATATCAAAAAATCTGCGATTAGATTGGCCGGCATTGGTGCGCACTGGTATGCTGGACTATTCATGAATCTTTTAATTATTTAAACTTTCAAACACAGTTTACACAACAGACGTTCAGCAACTGCCAAAAGAAAACAAACACTTGCCCTAACAATCTCAGTGACTGATCAAAAGTGATGTTTTTTTTGTAAGGTAAACTAGACAAATCTCGCCCATATTGATCCAATTAACAATTCAGAACGCTTGATTTAATAAAAAGTAAGCAAATATTGCAGCTGTTGTTGGATCGGCATCTCCTAACAAGGAATGAACGATCAAACTTACTTCTGTGAATTTTTCGTAGTTTTTTTTTCTGGTTATTTACATATACACGAAATTCAGGTCTCCTCAGCATTCCCGCTCAGCTCACCTCACTTAAAACATTCGAGTCTCACCTGCAAATTGTGTTTGTCCGAAATCAACTGAAAGAGAACAAACAATGGAGGGTGTATTGAAAGTTTTATTCAAAGCGCTTGCTACATCTGACAAACAGGACACTAACATATAGGAGATCAATGTACGTTGAGATTAGACTTAAGCCCTTGTTGGCTCTTCTGAGCTCTTCTAGCTGTTCACGGCACGCATCAGGGCTGCAATAGACATTGAATTGTGGGGGTAAGAGAATAGGAATTGCGGTTAATACTCTCAGTGTTATGACAGTTGGTAAATAATTTGGATTCTAGCTTCGGAGCTAGAAGAGATTTTACCTTTTCCTTCTACTTTTATCAGGAGAAGAGTCTCCTGCGGCCGTAGCATTCCTTGGTTGAAATATTACAATAACACAGCCTTGCAACCACTATTAAAAGCCTTGGATACAGGCGTGAAAAGTCGTCATTGTCTCACATACACAAAACACATTGATTTCCAAAGACGCTTCAAATCTCAGTAAAGTTCAAAGAAATTGTTATAATTACCACTGCTGTGCTTACCATTTGCGATTAGATAGAGAAGCAGAGACAAGCCGAGCATCTTGGCAGCGTCGGTTACAACACTTGAGCTGACTAGTCCGAGTGGTAACACTGAACACAGTCAAATCAAAACTTCAGTTGAATCTTCATATGGAAAAATGTCATAAACTGTTGCTGTCATAATTGTAAAGTAAACAGAAATCTCAATTTGCAACTCAAACGGACAATTTGCATATCTTGGTAAAGGGAAAACGGCGTTCCGATTCAAAGGAACTTTAATCACCTTAAAATACAGCAAATCAAAAACGGGATCAAATGATTATCTTCCAAGGGTCTTTGTTCAAGGGATTTGATCTCTTATGGCCAGATCAGTTAACTTGCATTTTCTCTAAACTATTATGCTGATTGCGAGGCGACGTATCAGGTGCTAAAGGCCTATAAAGTGAAACTTCATACCAAAAGTCTGTAAACATACAGCTATGCTAAGGTGCCTAAAAATAACACATATCATTCAACAAGAATATGCGGCCTAAAGGAGCGTATAACTTACTACCTGTAGTACATTAGAAAAAGTCCATTCTCTTAAAATTCCCTGCTTTAACAACCTCGTTCTCCCAATTATCTTAGGAAAAAAAACCCTGGAAAATGGAGTTGCAGGTTTAAAAGATGTCTTAAAATACATTATATAGGAGAAATCAAGACTGAATAACCAGTTTGAGGCAGGGTAAAGTTTACGAGAAAGCCGACTAATAAAAAAAAAANTAGATAGAGAAGCAGAGACAAGCCGAGCATCTTGGCAGCGTCGGTTACAACACTTGAGCTGACTAGTCCGAGTGGTAACACTGAACACAGTCAAATCAAAACTTCAGTTGAATCTTCATATGGAAAAATGTCATAAACTGTTGCTGTCATAATTGTAAAGTAAACAGAAATCTCAATTTGCAACTCAAACGGACAATTTGCATATCTTGGTAAAGGGAAAACGGCGTTCCGATTCAAAGGAACTGTAATCACCTTAAAATACAGCAAATCAAAAACGGGATCAAATGATTATCTTCCAAGGGTCTTTGTCCAAGGGATTTGATCTCTTATGGCCAGATCAGTTAACTTACATTTTCTCTAAACTATTATGCTGATTGCGAGGCGACCTATCAGGTGCTAAAGGCCTATAAAGTGAAACTTCATACCAAAAGTCTGTAAACATACAGCCATGCTAAGGTGCCTAAAAATAACACATATCATTCAACAAGAATATGCGGCCTAAAGGAGCGTATGACTTACTACCTGTAGTACATTAGAAAAAGTCCATTCTCTTAAAATTCCCTGCTTTAACAACCTCGTTCTCCCAACTATCTTAGGAAAAAAAACCCTGGAAAATGGAGTTGCAGGTTTAAAAGATATCTTAAAATACATTATATAGGAGAAATCAAGACTGAATAACCAGTTTGAGGCAGGGTAAAGTATACGAGAAAGCCGACTAATAAGAAAAAACTAATGACAAACGTTAAGGCAAGGACTGGAAACCTGGAAACTGCCGCTACCGCTGCTGAGCGGGAAAGTATGTGAGTGGAAATTTTCAAAACTGAGGCAAGGCAAAGCCCTTAAATTATCGAAAGAAGTTGACAGGGTTATGACCCCGCGTGAGAAGTCTAAACTCCTTTGCACGCAAACTAATTGTTTACAAAAAAAGCCCTTTGAAGTTGAGGTCCACTCAACGCGTTAATAAAACCGGCTGATTCTTTCTTGGCGGATCTCTAATGTAGAGACGCTAATGCCAGACGTCCCTTGAAGGGGGAATAAAAACAAAACTGAATGCAAGGCTGGCAATACGGCAAACTGGCTGATTCATTCGAGGCCAATATTACATTTATAAGCGTGATGACAAACGTGGAAGTTGGTAATGTTTTGTCTCCTAATGTATATCAACAACCAATTTCTTAAACTTCATATGGAAAAATGTCATAAACTGTTGCTGTCATAATTGTAAAGTAAACAGAAATCTCAATTTGCAACTCAAACGGACAATTTGCATATCTTGGTAAAGGGAAAACGGCGTTCCGATTCAAAGGAACTTTAATCACCTTAAAATACAGCAAATCAAAAACGGGATCAAATGATTATCTTCCAAGGGTCTTTGTTCAAGGGATTTGATCTCTTATGGCCAGATCAGTTAACTTGCATTTTCTCTAAACTATTATGCTGATTGCGAGGCGACGTATCAGGTGCTAAAGGCCTATAAAGTGAAACTTCATACCAAAAGTCTGTAAACATACAGCTATGCTAAGGTGCCTAAAAATAACACATATCATTCAACAAGAATATGCGGCCTAAAGGAGCGTATAACTTACTACCTGTAGTACATTAGAAAAAGTCCATTCTCTTAAAATTCCCTGCTTTAACAACCTCGTTCTCCCAATTATCTTAGGAAAAAAAACCCTGGAAAATGGAGTTGCAGGTTTAAAAGATGTCTTAAAATACATTATATAGGAGAAATCAAGACTGAATAACCAGTTTGAGGCAGGGTAAAGTTTACGAGAAAGCCGACTAATAAAAAAAAAACTAATGACAAACGTTAAGGCAAGGACCGGAAACCTGGAAACTGCCGCTACCGCTGCTGAGCGGGAAAGTATGTGAGTGGAAATTTTCAAAACTGAGGGAAGGCAAAGCCCTTAAATTATTGAAAGAAGTTGACAGGGTTATGACCGCCGCGTGAGAAGTCTAAACTCCTTTGCACGCAATCTGAATTGTTTACAAAAAAAGCCCTTTGAAGTTGAGGTCCACTCAACGCGTAAATAAAACCGGCTGATTCTTTCTTGGCGGATCTCTAATGTAGAGACGCTAATTCCAGACGTCCCTTGAAGGGGGAATAAAAACAAAACTGAATGCAAGGCTGGTAATACGGCAAAGGGCTGATTCATTCGAGGCCAATATTACATTTATAAGCGTGATGACAAACGTGGAAGTTGGTAATGTTTTGTCTCCTGATGTATATCAACAACCAATCTCTTAAAACTTCCCATCGTGTTTATCATATATTTCTCATCATGTATCGTGCACGTGTTGGGAAGCGAGCCGAACGGTTCTAAACAGCGCGTAACATTGGAGGAACTGGGCTCTAGAATTGCAGTGTGGGTCTCAAATTTTTAACAATATTTTCAGCCATTTCTCAACGTTGTCTCCGTGGCGCAATCGGTTAGCGCGTTCGGCTGTTAACCGAAAGGTTGGTGGTTCAAGCCCACCCGGGGACGTTATTTTTTTTCCTTTCTTTCTTTCTTTTTTGTTTTTTCTCATTTTAGGAGTTTGATAAGGAAAATTATTTTCAAATCGTTTAATTTTGAATTGGTTTTACCTCCATCTTGCTAACATAAAAAGATTTCAAAAGCTTTCGTTTCCCTTTGAGTCAGATTATTACTCACGTGTGGAATACTGGAATATTTCGACTTGTGACCATAGTTAATAAACTTAAAAGTAGCAAGAGACAGATTAAGCAATTAAATTCATCATAAAATTATCAGTATTAAAAGAAGAAAAAAAAAAATTATGCGATCACGCTCTTTTGAGAGTTTAAAAGAGACGCAAGGCGATTTATTAGCCAGCGGATGAGTGTTTACACATTCTCTACTACGTGTAACGAACACCCACTTTTAGCTACTTTTCACGATTGCGCCAAATTCAAAATGGCGATGTTCACAGAATGGGCGTAACTTCTTCTAACTTAACAGCAAGAAAATCTCGAAATGGATTCTGAAGGTATAAGACTACCTCCAAAGCCTACACTAGAACCCCAAACTACGTTATTTAAGAGTACTCAACTGGATCTTACTCCTGAAAAGAAACAGCCAACAAACAGACTCAAAGAAAACAGCCAGAGAAGCGGTGTCAGTTCAAATGTTTCCACCGAAAACAAGTTGGAGCAAAGGAAGGAAATTTATTCTTGGTAAGGTGCAGTATTGTATTTAGTTATAAATTGCACAGTGACACAACAAGCGAAATGCAGTTTCTTTGATGCATGCAGATGTGAAAAGTAGTATTATTGTCGCATTTCTATGCTCCAGTCAAAGTAAAACCCCGCCCCCCTCCCCCAACCCCGGGAAAAGGCGGGGACTTGGACAAAAGAACTCGAAAAAATTGTCGGGTCCCCATTCCAATGTCCTCGCTTGTCCCCGCTTACCAGTGAAAGTATATGCTGAGGTTCCAATCTTTATTTGGTGAAAAAGTTTCAAACCGGTTTGGTTTTCAATTTTTTATTGTCTTATATTAATTATCATAATCTGAAACAAAGGGAAATATAAATCAAGCTGGTTTCAAAAATTTTGGGCCACAAAATATAAAATAATGAATTTCCTAAAAAATTCATTAAAAACACAAAAACAGACAACAAGGTAACATTGAACCACTTTATTTCCTCTTTTAAATTTAATCTAGACAGCTCATCAATTATTTGCAACACACAGTTCTAGCTTCCAAGCCTCCAGCAGAGAAATTCCCTGGTTCGGATACCATAAAGGCAATCCTATCCAAGACCCCGCATACAGGGACAGTTTTGAGAGGCAATGACTAGTTTTTGTTCTGCTAATGTTCCTGCCTTTCCTGGGTTGGGCGCGGGGATTTACTTTGACTGGTGCATTACATAAGCTAAGCTTTTAGATAATTTTTCTTTTAAACAGCAAACAAATAAACAATATGCTGGTATGGCACTATAAAATAAAGGCGACTAAAAATAGTTACAGGTAGCCTTCTGAAGAGACCTTGATCTGAACTCTGAACATGATGTCTCCATTTCCTTTGATATTTAGCCTGGCTCAGCCTTCTATGAACTCAACAAACCTAGTGAGTAAGAAGCTTGCAGCTCTTCAGAAAGAGCAGTTTGACCCAGCTCTGGCAATCGCTGAAGAAATTGAACAATCTGAGACTACAAGAGTGATTTTCGGAGAAAAAGTTGCTCAGGCTGTCAACGTGAAGAAAGGCTGTCACATCTATGCTGACTTGATTCCCCTTGATGTCGAGGCTAAAGATGTGCTTGCCGAGTGTGCTTATCCAAAGGCTAGAAGTAGTTCAAAGAGTACCAAACTTCTAACGCAAGAACCGGACATTATGGCTGTTTTCTCTGAGAATTTTGAGACACAAACGGCACACCTTGATTATGACTTGTTCTATCAGGGGGACCCTGTTAACGAGCCATCAGCAGCATCAATATCACATGTGTTTGATTTACACAAACATATTCAATGTTGGCAAGAATAATTCTAATGTTAACAAAAACTGAATAAAAATAAACAACTATAACCTTAATGATTTAATGGCAATTGAACCTTCCAATCTAAGACTGCCTAATAGATCAATTTTGATATTTTAAAATTCATTATTCCCCTAAGCCTCAGTGCCAAGTAAGAATGTTAATATATCGGAATTTCTTTATTCTGGGACCCATTATTTGGAAGCTAATGTGAAGTGATTTGTTTTGTCTTATTCTCCTCAATCTAAGAGCCAAACATTGCTGGGGGGGTGCTGGGTTGAGTCAGTTTATTATGGGATAGTAAATAATGCAATGCAGACATTATAAAACTCCAAAATTTGAAAAATATCATCCGGACAGAGAGTCCAGAAACCTGTATATCTCATAAATTTTCAATGTTTTTATATAGCTGTTTCTTGTTCCATATTGGCCCGATTGACACCAGTGATTTTATTTTTTTCTAACCTTCATCTGCTCTTTCTACGTGGGTCTCATGTTTTTTCCCATAATGAACTGACTAGTACCCAGTCCTGTTCAGTTTGAAACTAAGAAATGGATTTTGTTCTAAAATAGTTTGGAACTGGACTATTACTCTGTGTGAGGGGGACTGTCTTTGCTAATCATGATGTGGTAGGGGCATGCAAGGCTTTTATGATGTAACTGACTTTCAGTTTGGAAGTACTTTTTTGGCATTTTTTTCTCAAGATGTTTCTCATCCCTTTCACACAAGTTGTGTAGCCTGCAAAGCAGGCATATTTTGGAATGTGATCCATGATTTTTTTTTCGGGAATAACATTATCCTGCCATCTTTCACGTTTAAAATACTACTAGAGGGCTGGTACGAGTCAAAAACTGATTTTAAGGGAGAGGTTGATGGGTTTAACATAAGGGAGATTCCCACCCCTCCTGCCTCAGTCTTTTTTTTGGCTTTTCAAGATGGCGGTCGTGATCAATGTACCTCTCAGTTTCAGGCTATTTGTTGCGGTTTGGTTGAATCAAACTGGACCAACCTTCCAACCTATGAGTCACCAATGGCACCAGATCTAGCATGGGCATTGTATTTAAATTACATCCCTGAAGTCAATGCAAAAAGTAGATCATGTCCTCTTCTTGACTGTCTTGAGCCAGTTGCCTATGCACTTCAACATAATACCAACCCAGTCTCTAGGTACACCTGATGTAGTTAATCGATATACCAATAATTGATAGTAATCGATATCAATCATCAATGAACATCAATTCTCCAATATCAATTACTATCATTATTGATAGAAATCGATAAAGAACAAAAAGTTGTGAACTCGATTAACATCGATTTCTGATAAAAATCGATAATGATTTTTTTATTGATTGTCATCGATTACTGTTGATTATTATCGGAAAAGACTTAAGTTATTTTTCGGCAGAAGTTCAACATTATCACGATGTTGTCCGTAGGGTATTATTTAGTCATTCAGTTGTGAAATTATGCAGTTCCTTTGATTGATAAAATACTAAAAGAACAAAACACTAACAGGAACAAATTGCTTTCTGTCGCTGTAGCAACTCCATAAATATGCAGCATAATAATGAAAGAAATACGTCTGGATTGAATGGATATCTAAAGATCTAGTAAAACAACCTAGGAAACAAAATATCCAAAAAAAAAGGGAATCTGGTGAAGACTGCGCCTTAGGAGTTACTGAAGTCATCAAAAATTAAATGCCTGGTGTTAAGCTAAAGCTGGGCTCATGGGTGTTGCTTGCCAAAATACTAGCATCGTCATGCTGAGAATATTCACTTCACGATTATTCCTTGTTATCGATTACTATCAATTCTGATCAACTGTTATTGGTTTTGTTAATCGATAATAATAAATAAATAATTATTTTCCCTGTGACTTTGATTTCTATTGATTTCTGATATCAATCAATGTTAATCGGTGGATTAAATCGATTAATATCGATTGATTTCTGATAACGATTTTTATTGATTAAGTAAAATGGAGGCAATTTGTTTACGCAAAAATTTTACACATGCATTTTCTTCTATATTTTTTTCGGGGATGACTGGGAATTTCTGAAGAGAGTGTGGGGTAACATTTTGAAAATCCAGAAAGCATGAGAAAGGGGAGGCTTGTAAGGAAAATCCTATGAGCACTGGGGGAGGGGGGTTGGAAAATTTTTTCTGGAACTATATCACTGCACTTTGGCCATCTTGCTTTTCCTTGCAAAAGGTAACCCTCATAAAAAAGCTCAACTCTGGAGAACAACAACATATTTTATAATCAATGGATTTTCTTCTGTAACTACCAATGATACAGTTACAAAATTGTACACTGAATTCATGTATGGAAGGTTTGAAAATATTTTATATACTAAATACACTAGACAAATGGCAAACTGTAATGCCAACGCTTTACAGTCCAAATAATTTAGTACGTTCAGTGGTAGGTACAATGTGAGAAGAAACTGTACAATATTCTCAGAGGACTATGAAAAATATTGCATTTTGCTAATTTACATATGTATCAAAACAGACACCGACAAGGCCTGTAGTTAAGCGAGCTGTACTGCAAAATTGGCAAATGCTATCTCTTCTTCTTTGTGGGGTAATTATCTTCTATGGAGTCTGGAGAGAGTCTTTGCTGTAGCCTCGCAAGGTATAAATTGAGGTTTTCAACCAACAATTTCTTCTTGAACAGTTCTGCCTCCTCTATGATTTCATGAATTACCGAGCACTGAATTTCGAGTGAGCCCTTCAAATTGGCAACTTGATTCAGGATAACTTCATCACCTACAACACAAAAACACAAGTGTCAGATATCCAGGGGAGACATAATTTTAAGCAGAAAGAATGAGAAAAAATAAAAACCAAACATGATAGTAACAGACTTTTCATTAACTTTTGAAGATTGGCACAACTAGAAGCAATTTTATAACTCAACCCTTCTACTGTTGCCAAATTGACCCCAAAAAGAACCAGAGGTTTATGTTTCCTACACAAAGTTTGTAATCGTACTACTTAATTAAGGCAATTTACAGTGAGTCTTCAATGAAGACTTGCAGTACAGAGTGACTACATCAATGACTGGAGTGAAGAAATTCTTTCATTAAAATCATATATAAAAAAAACCATTTAGAATATTGGCATGGTGTTCATATCATTTATCCAAGGGGGAATGGGGGATGACGGTATCTTGTACTGACATATAACTATTACAAGACAGTAAAATAATTTTTTTTTTATCATAATCTTTCTACGAACACACACTCTGTGATTGGTCAATTTGGTGCGCTATAATATACTGTATGGTATGATTGTGTTCCTCCATGCTGTTTTTTTGACTAGTCTCTTATTTTTCACTTGCACTGCAAGTTACAGAACTTAGGTTTTTTTTTCTTCAGAACCCAGTATATAACTTACAGAGCAGGTGCCAGCTGGTCAATAAGTGGATACTGCTATCTATCTATCTATCTATCTATCGATAGATCTATATCGATTCGATAGATCAATCAATTAATCAATCAATCAAAAGATTGATTCTCATTTATGAGCAACCAAGACGAGACTTCAACTTGTCTACGCAATGAAATCAAAGTTGCAATTACTTTTATGTGGTTGTCTGATTTCCCTGAATACTGTATTTTTTATCAGCCTGTTTTCTTCATGTGCTTCTCTTGCAAGTTGTCTTTTCAGCAATCTTGGTGAAGGACCTTTTGAACCCCTTCCTTTAACATCTCCATCTACAAGTGGCTCAGGTAGCTCAGAGTTTGCCAGTCTATTTTTACTAAGTGTATTGTCATGAGAATTTAATGGAGGCCCTCCTTGGCCAGAAAACGTCCTACTTTGAGAGGTCACTGCTTCCTTGAGAATTGATGCAACAAAATCATTCTTGGAAGAACTAACTGCATCACTCTTCCCTACTGTTGGCTGCTGCTTGCGATTTATTTTTCCTTTATTGCTGTGTAGTTGCTGAAGTCTTGCAAGCTGCGGTTTAATCAAACCCTTTGAAGTTTTATGCAACTTATTTTGTCCTTCGTTTCCTTCAGTATGTTTTCGTTTTAATCCATGGCCTGGAAACAAATTGTTTGTTTTAGCATCAGGAGATAACAAGCTTTTATCTGATGATACTTTGCTGTTTGATGGTCCATGTGGTGGGCTTAGTCCACCATTTTGGTTTGTTTTGTTGGGCCACCGTACAGGGGGTGTCTCTTGCTGCTTCCTCCTGTCCCTGGGAGATCCAGGAGATCCTGGGGGTCTTTTACGTGAGGGTGGGCCAGCCATTGCCTCATTTACATCAGCCTCATCGACCATGACTCGCTGTTATGGAAATGACAAAGAAATCATTTTGTTGCTAAACAAAAAAGTGATCACGATATTATGTCCATGCCATTAATTCTTAAGCTTTCATAATAGTTTGAAAAGCTGCTTCTTTTCCTATAAACAAATGCAGAGTATTAATTTTATTTCATTATTTTAACTGTAATGATGAATTGACAACACCGTATCCAAGTCAAGGCCTTTTTGGTTTAATGTGCGGTAAATGTTAATGTGTTAGGAACTCTAAGAGTGTTGGTTATTGCTGACCAAAATATGGTGGGGAAATATTTCCCTCCACGATATTTTAAAATCTGTGCATGATTTGCTCAAGCCCTAATTATCACAAGTTACTTATTTCTTATGATTTTACAAAAATAAAAATGAATTTTTGTAGAAAGAAATCTTTGCTTTAGATTCTATTAGGAGGGAGCGGCTTGATGTGGATTAGTACAGGTAATATCATTACACAAGAAATTATATGACTTTCCCTAACACATTCTTCTCCAGACCTTTGATTTTTTCTGTCTTGTTCAGACTGTTAATCCCCTTAATTACCTGATCCTTGGCAAGTTTAAAGGGGTTCCCAAACATGTGAACTCTATTTTGGCCAGGATCAACTTCTCGCAGAGGGCTCATTTGCCTTAGCACTTCTTGGTAGTTACCCATATCTGCAATTGCCACGCTGTGTCGTGCATCTAATAAAGGT